TGTCGTTCTCAACAGGTGTACACATTTTAGACAGAGTTCACATTATAAGCCATAGAGCATATCAATCTGTCTCAACCCATAGATAAACAGATAAACATGGCTAAAATGTTGAAATATCTAGAATCCAGTGATGATTTCCATCCATTACCGTGTTGTTGTTAGCGAAAGTTCAATATTTTGGAAAATACGCTTTCTCATTTCTATACACCAAATATGAAGCTAAAGACAGCAGGCCTGTAGCTTAGCTTAGCATAAATCCTGGAGTGCTGAAACTATCTCTTGGCCGGGAAGTCTGCGGACTCGCCAAGAAATTGTTTCAGACCGTAACTCTCGGGTTTTGTACGGATTAAACAAATGAGATTGTGAGAGACTGTTTCGATTCTTTATGCTAAGCTAAGCTAACTGCCTGCTGGTTTAAGCTGCATCTAGCGCACAGACATGAGAGTATGAGATGTATTGTTCTTCTCGTCTATTTCTTGCCGGGATAGCAAACAAGCATTTTTCATTACATTTCAACCTATCAACTGATAAAGATGGTTTCTAGGGGCAGTTTTTTTAAATCATAAAATTGTATTTTATAAGTTAAACCATATATTTTCACTCAAAATGTTTCCAAGTCCAGCTTCTGACAGACATATTCAATGGTTCAAACGTTAAGGTATATTGGTAAAAGAGGAGTTCCACAGGGTTCTGTATTTGCTCCACTTAGATTATAAAATAATGATTTACCAGAAGTAGAGTTGTATACAGACAATAATGTTGTTTATCTGGTAGAACTATTAAGGAACATTATTAAGGAACCAACTTGAATTGTCAATGTTAAATGGACAAGGATAATTTAATGAAACTTTTGAACCATAGTTTGGTTAGAGCTACTAACCGCTAACCACTGCATAAGACATTTTAGGCTCCCAAACTATTACAATTATCTCAGAGGACAGTGGTGAGATTATCATATCATTTTCTTTAAAGAGTTACATTTCACTAGAATTGCATTGATCAGCCTAAAAAACAAACACTTGGCCATAAATGATGAATTCATATGTTGATTGCCATGTAGTCAAGAGACCTATCGCAGCATTAACTTAAAAAATGATGAATCTGAAACCATTGATTTTACCACTATTCCTTTGATACACATCTACATAACTGTCTTTGTTTTAATGTAGTGACTCTATAAGAGAACAATCATCCTATACTTTATATTAAAAAATATATTTGTTCTTGCTCTTGTCTATTTCTGTTCTCATAGAGCAGGAGTTCTGTTTTTTTTATTGACTATTGTATAATTCATGCTCTTTTTTTTCAGATCTTAATTGCACTAGATCAGCTAGTCATTGGACTGGGAGAGAGCACTTAACATCAGGGAACTCACTGGAACCACTTATCCCATCACTTACTGTATCAAACCTATATGTTGTGCATCTAGAAAACCCACTGAGAATTAATAATTCACATTTACAGAATATGATATGCATGTTAATGCTTCTTTGAGCAATTAGTTTCAGGGGTGTGTCTCCATTTCCATTAAATCGTACATAAGATACAACGATTTTTACATGGGCCACTTGCATCAAGACATGCATGTAGACCTGAAGCAACCTAATAACTTGTAATATACTACAGCTTATATTACTTTGTACATTAAACTGGCTTGTGTAAGCCCTATCTTTACATGTTCAAAGATCTGAGTGGAAAGCACAGACTATTTGGCTCTTAATTGATTCTTTTGTTCACCTCAACCCCCATCAGCATGAGGCTGAGCTTTCATTATTGGCCAAGAAAAGAAGGAGGGATGGAGAAATGGACAGATAGAGCATGAAGAGAGATAGTTAAGGATGGTGAGCGATAACGAGGAGAGCAAAGTACCCTGTAGGATTAGCAAAAAGGGTGGATAATAGGGAGCAAGTGTGACCGCAGATACAGTAGTGAGAGTGAAAAATGGAGAAGGCATTGGAGATGAGTGAATCATATACTGTAACTTATCCTCCCAGTTCACCAGAGACCAAAGATATAGAAGCAGGAAGGCCAGACTCCAGGTAGCCTCAGGGAAATGAGAGGGCATTTTTTCACGCTCGAAAAGGTCTTCCCCGTACCTAACTGGCCACTCTGGCCACCGGTCCTGTACACTGGTCCCAGCTTGGTGCTTTGTCAATGTGCTGTGACTAATCCAGGAGGGGTCCCGCATTTTCTCTCACCCTAATTAAAAGAGGATTAGATGGGATGGAGCTCCAGGCCACTCCAACATGCATAGCCACCGTCCCCTTCGCTTTCCCAGGATAATCACACTTACTGGAATTGCCTGGATTTCTGTTGCAGACCACCACCTGAACACTGAAATAGTTGGTGCTGCTGAGATTTAAGGGCTTACAATTATGGATTGGTCAAAAAGACACTGAAACCATTCCCAAATTGGTGTCTACTTATTATAAATTCCATAATTGGCTTTGTTTCCAATATATACTTCCTAAATTGTGATTATAAAAATCCCGGTGGCTTCACGTTAATCAGTTTTATCATAATTTGTGCATGCGTATGGGGTTGTCTTAGATTATTTAAATCCCAGTAACACCCATGTTTGTTTGTTTTACAATACCCAGTTATTAACATCAGTCTTATCAAAGGATTTATGTAATTTAGCCTGTATTCATTGCATTCAACAGCATTTTGAATAACATCAAATAATGTTGGTTAAATAAAAAAATATGAACTAAGCAACCACATAAATTGAAGAGTTTGTATGCCCATCATGAAGTCTTAAAGGCAACTTTACTGGGACCACACAGAGACAATACTGGCACCAGTTGTCAACATAGATAGATTTCCATCCAAATGCTTCTTGCCAGCTTCATATTTAACTATGATTTGTTCATCTATGATAAATATACAAAAAGTCAAAAGCATATTTTCAAATTTGCGAAGTACATTCAAACTATGTAGTAACACAACATTAAAAAAATGATATAATTTAGATATATAATAGAACAGAATAATGTGGCTCCTATTGTGTGCATAATTAGAAGAGAATAGTAATTTGGAAGGTTAATAATCAAAGTTGCGTTCAGCTGTTAACTAATTCTGCCCAGTGGCCTATATATAGCCATGTGAGATTAGCCAGTTTGAAGTGCTGGCTTATTTAGAGACCAGCTGCCATGAAGAACACAGCCCCACTGCTGCACATGATTGTTGATATATGTTGAAGCCTTTTAAAAAATGGACCTCTGAGACCTTTACCTTAACCCAGGACATCATGTCAGTGCCTGCTATGGGTAAAGGCTACAATATATTTCCAAGATGTACGGCTTGAATTGACGGTCATTTTATTTCTGTGATTTCACCATCCAGATTGCATCACAAATCGAGCATGGAATAATATTTTGTTCAATGTATCACTAAAGCTCCAAGCGCTAAATTAGATGTTTCTAGTGGATGTCTTCTTCATTAGAAAGAGAAGAGAAGAAGCCAGGATTTAATAAGTATTGTATTATTAGGCTTTATGTATATAAACATTGGAGACGTTCATTTCAGAGAGTTGTTATAAATAATGTTGATTCAAGTCCACATGCTCTTTTTTTTCCTCTCCTCAGAACATGGCGTTTGCTCAGTTGGTATATCACCTAAGTACTAGAAATACATTATTACCTTAAAGTTTGTTTTAGCCTACTATAACTATTACTCTATATGAAATTAAAAGTTTGTAAACAATTAAAAAAGAATGCTTTAAACTATATTTGAAAATAAAAAAGTTGCATTATTTTTCAAAATGAAAGCTAATTTGAGATATGTTTGCAATCATAAGAACAATGTGTATACAGCATTTCGTGAATATCGGACAAACTATATGCGAGTTGGTTCGATATGAATTTGGTCTACTATTTTGAATTGGCTGAATTTATGTCCACGGCAAGACATCTTCTTTTTTTTTTTTACATTATACTTTATTCAAAACAAACGTACAAACATTTCATGAACTTAAGAACTCACCATAATTAAAAGATATTACAAAATGTGTAGAAAAAGATGATATAATTGGGTAAAAATAATGAACTTACATATATATTTATTGAAATATTGAATGATTTCATTTCACAGTTTTATGACTTTTTGTTTTTATATTCACGTGAGTAAAATTACCATATACAATCAACAAGTAGCTATCATATTCAAAATATGTCATTACACTTTACCAAATATGCTTGCAGTGGTGTAAAGTAACTAAGTACATTTACTCAAGTACTGTACTTTAAGTACACGTTTGAGGTACTTGTATATTGACTTGAATATTTCCATTTTATGCTACTTTGTACTTCTACTCCATTACAATTATTTAATACCTTTAGTTATTTGGATTAGTGATGTGAAATATAATCAACACTTAAATAAGATAGTTACACCTGGAGTAAAGCTACCCTGCAGTATACTAAGTCATTACAACTAGCTGCACCTTTACCAGCTTTGATAACACTTTAATGCATGATTATAATCAAAACATATCAAATATATTATTCTGAAATAGACGAATTTGCATAATGAGAACCGTTAGTAGGCCTACTTCAAGTAGCCTATACAGTATGTTGATGGATGCCAATACATGAGTACTTTTACTTGATTAAGATTTTGAATGCAGGACTTTTAATTGTAACAGAGTCTTCATACACAAGATATTACACATTCAAACATATTTATTTTTAGTTAAACCGATATATGCCTGCACTTTAACTTTATCTGCATATTAAAATATGATTGCTTGTTGTGTGTACGTTGTCTTCTCCTGAATGGTGTGTCTCTTGTTTGTTTTTTGTATTTTTGATGGCACCTTAAAAAAAGGAGTAGCTCTACTATCAATGTACCTGTATAATGACAATAAATGATTTTATTCTATAAGAGTACTTCTCCCACCTCTGAAAATGTGTAATTAGTCATTACACATAACAAATATGCCTGGGAAACGCGACCCCCTTTCTGCGTCATAGCACCTACAAGTCAGAGTTGAGGGCAAACCCACTCCACTCCCTCTGCAGCAGCTCGTACGCTCTCCAGTAAACACAAGGCGACGGTTGCTCCCTGTCACCGTTAAATATATACGTTATTCGCCTCATCTATGGATAACGCCGAAGAAAAGGTAGCCATGAGAGATTCAAAAAGACGAGAGCGTCAATCAGGTAACGCTTTCTCACTTTAAAAGCGTGCTATGTGGGTCAGTTTAGATAACAGCGTGTATTCAGCAGTAGTAAAGCCAAACACGAATGCCATCTAATTTGGCTCGTGCATTAATGGTTTATTAAACTAGAATCGTTGACCTGGTGTGAACATATCGAACGCAGCGTTAGCAGTCAATGCTAATTCCTGATAGCTAACATTGACCAATACGTTAGCATGCTCCACTCACAAGCTAGTATCGTACTATAAACATTACGCTGTCGGTAACGTGTCAGTATTTACAGTTAATATGCCAATGCGAAACAAATGCGGTTTAATATAATAACACTGGTTGTATTATAAAATGAACCTAACGTTAGCTAGAAATGACGGTAACGGTTGTGCGGTGGTTGGCTTTTTCGCAGGTTATGTTTATAGATAACGTGGGTACTGACGTTATATAGGTGGGAAAACAAATGTTACACGCCGACATCCTGAGATATAAGGTTAGGTAGTGTTTTATGTGTTTAGGACATGATGACAAACCTTGTTAGCAACGTTAGCCACACTACAGGGTGGGGTCAGTTAATGAAGCCCTGTGGTAATCAGTATTGATTATGTCAGTGACGTCATGGCAGGGATGTAGAGCAGCATCAGCACCAATCCAGGCCAGTTTAGGGCTACATGTTGGCCACTTAAGTTCCCCTAACTTTAAATTAGGTAAATAGTCGTTTTAACACCATGTACTGTAAGTGGTTCAACAGCGCTCTGACTTATCACTTTGTCTGTAGGTTCAAGCAGGTATGATTTACGTGATGTTGAAGGTACGGATCTCCCTCATTTAATGGTTGCATGTCATGATCAATTGTGCACTAAGATAACATGTGGGTGGAGGTGCTATTAATCTTAACTAACCAAATTTACAAAAGGTGGTTGTTCGGAGATGGATGAAAAGGCTGCTCTGATGTATGATTGGATTAGAAATGTATGTCTGTAGAAAGAGATTATTAAAATGTGCTTCTTCACTGTGTTCATTTCGGTACGCATTTACTTCCACTAAACATTTATATCTGTTGTGTTTTTTCCCCCTAGCCTTGGAGGATTCGGACAATGACATCGGCTTGTGTGGCTGGCTGTTGGTGGCCCTCTCCATCCTTCTCATGCTGCTCACTCTGCCCATCTCTGTATGGATGTGCATTAAGGTCAGCTGCCAGTCAAATCAAGTGTTTATTTTCCACTTTACAAATAAAGCTTGCTGGTAGTACATATCTGAGGAAAGCCTGCTCTGTTTGTTCAGTGTTTTCCACATCATATGGCTTCCACTGCAGACTCATCTTCTATATTATTTGCTTAACAGCTATTGTTTTGCCTTTACTTAATTAAAAGGCATCCACAGCGAGCAGGGTAATTGCTCTGTGTTTCTTCATTTACATATCTCAATATCTGTTTACATGTGTAAAATGTCAAATAACAGAGAAAGAGCAAACTCCCAAATAAGCCATTTATCTGGTTTGTCTTTGTACGCAGATTGTGAAGGAGTACGAGCGAGCCATTATCTTTCGCCTGGGGCGGATTTTGCGAGGAGGAGCCAAAGGCCCAGGTCAGAAAACCTTTTATTCACCAGCATTTGCTTTTTGTCCTCTCCACATCTTCGGTTTTCTCCACTTAGATACGACATGATGATTGTCTTTACCTTTCTTTACTGTGGGGATAATAAGAATTGAACAACATCTAATTTTGTTATGCCGTAACATCTGCTTTGTAGAGAAAAGAACTCAATAAAACTAAAATATCTTCTAAGCCAGTTGTTCATGTTTAGATTGTCACATTACAATGTAGGTGTAGTTGCATTCTATTGTACTATAAAGCTTATAAACAAGAGCTTTTTCTTCCCATATATTGAACGTTATGGTTTATGTGATGAGTCATTTGGAGAAAGGCTGAATCGAAACCACAGCACAGAAATGATGCCAGAGTTGTGTGGGCTTCCTGTTTGTTTGTCAAATCAACTCTACAACCTCTTGAAACGATCAGATAGTGTTCGTCATAGCGCATCAATCACTCTTTTTTTTTTTACGACATGTTCATGATAATGTCAGAGAACCTAAAAGAGCAAACAGAACTAAAAGGACCATCAATAAATCTGCTGTTGACTCTTTGTTTTCTATTCAATTCACTTAGACGCTTAGCTCTGCACTCTATCACACTGACACACTAACTCTAAACACCCACCCACACACACACACCCACACATGCACGCACACGTACACACACAAGCAGTCACTTGGTATTTTCCCAGCATACTCTACCAAGCCTCTACTGCAGCCATTTTGCTCTTTTTTGGGGGGCTTTTTGTTTTGATACTCCATTGGTGAGACACATATTTGTTCTTAGAAAACTATGTAGTATATTTTTAATTAACCTAAAATCAGGATATTTTCTTAAACTACACTACCAGCCTTTTTACCCAATATGAAAATCCTTCCCCTAAAGCTGAAAGTCATCACTTCAACTTAATATTCATTGTTTAATGTCAGTGTTGGTGTGCAAAGCCAAACAATGGTAATAGTGTGTGTATGTCCATTTACGCAAAGACTTCTGTACTGTGGGGTAGGGCTGCTCAATTAATCGTATTTTAATCGCAATTACGATTATGGCTTGCAACGATTACGAAAACAACGTAATCGAAATAAAACGATTATTTTTTTATTATTATTATTACTTTTTTTTTTTTTTTCAAATAAAATTTTTTTTTTATTGGTTTTTCAGTTGAATTATACTTAAAGTTCAGGGTAATCAACTGTTAAAAACATACTGTTCAAATGTCTTTTCTCCAATAAATTGATGTTTTCAAAGTAAATGGATAATCGTTTTTAATAATCGTGATATCAATTATTGACCCAAATAATCGAGATTAGGATTTTTGCCATAATCGAGCAGCCCTACTGTGGGGGACTTTTAACTATGGGAGTTTTGGGACTTGCTAATTTGAAGAAAAACGTATCTTTAACCTGCATTTTTTTAAGGCCAGTATTTTAAATGTCAACCAATATTTGTTGTAGTTGCCTGTAACTCGTTAGATTTAAGATTAAGAAGACCTAAAATCACACAATTTAACTTAAAAACACAAATTATAGTAGTGTGCAAGTGATGCTCAAATGTAACACAATGTAAGTTGCATAGATAATGTTATTTGATATATCGTTGCACATCAAATATTGTTTGTATATAAACCACATTATTGTCCATGCAGCTGCAGTTCATGATGATCATATTCACATTCTCAGTTCAGCACGTTAGCAGCCCAACATTTGCTTCTTAGCACATAACACCAAACACAACTGAGACTAATGAACATGTTGATAAGTTTAGCTGGTATTTATCCTAAACCAAGGTATTGGAGAAGTAAAAAAATTGACGTGATGTTGCCTGAGAAATATTTAGGCGATTTCCGAGGTGGGATACATGAATGTCTGTACTAAGCTTCACAGCAATCCATCCAAGAGCAGTCTCTCAAAACCACAAATGTCAACGTGCTGGAGGATCTAGAGGAAATGGAATTTTCCAGCCCTCGAATAATGCTGCTAATATGGCTAAATAATGTAGTTGCTAAATTGCAAGAATGGAGCATGCAAGAGGAAAGGCATTCATCTACTTCCCCATAAACGCATTTCCTGTTGGGCAGTAAGACAGAAGGCAAGGCCATGGTACGGATGAATGAAACAGGGAAATAATGTAGGCCTAATAATACCTCAAAGTTCAGCCAAGTTCAGTGACGTCCAATTCATATGGGCTCCCTCTCCACACAGCCATATGTCTGCCAATGCTACCACATATTTGTATTTTCTGTTCAAGGACTGAATGATTTAATCATTCTATTCTCAGTGATGTGACTGTCTGTTTTGAAAAGCAGTGGATTTGTTTAAGCAAAGTAACACAGACTCCCATGAGGAATCATTTGCATACATCTCATAACTCGCTGTCGTTTATCTTTGATTTCCTGTTTTACGGGATCTAAAAACCAGGCAGTGTCCTCTCAAAATGCTGAAATGTGACTCCTCAGGGTGCCAGGGGACCCCGTTTATGACAGTGTGGAGTAATAATAGCTCTGTGGCAGCAAACTTCACATTCCTAAAGAGCTGGAGGAGCTAAAGTTGAATTTAGCATTTGGTTTCCCATAATGCCACTCAGCCTCATGCACCTAACCCGGCTGCCTCTCCACCTACAGCAGCTGCTATACTCTAGTGACTGTAAAACACATCCCTGTATGTCTAGTTTAAAACAAGCTTGCAGGAATAGTTTCTCATAAAATGAAAAGTGTGTGTGGAACATTTTGCATCTGTAAACACTTTTCTCCCCCCATAAACAGAGACGTTTAGTGAAAGCTTTTTCCACCCTGCCTCAGTGGAATTTTCCACTTCACTACAAGATGGTTTATGTGAGAGCAACTGAGGTTTCTTAACATGTCTGACAGGAACAATAATCGTTTCTGGAAATGTCACTAAGAAAACCGTGCTAGTAGTTATCTTCCTTTCCCTCTCCTGAACAGATGGCTGTGATCTCACCACTTAAACGCACACAATATCCTGACAGGAAATGCAGCCCACAAGTCTCTATCTGGTGTGGCATTAATGTTTTCTAAATGGTTGCACACCTAGCACATGTCTGTTCCACTCAGGCACATGCCTAGTATTGTTTAATGCACTAATTCAATCGTTGTGACTTGAAACAGGCTTATGAAAGCTGCAAATATCCGCAGCTTTGCCTCTCTGTCGGCACAGCTGCAGTCTTATAAAGAGAGCTTGACTTGGCCTCTTGCCAGCATTTCATTCATCCCGGTGTTTTCAAACATTTGCGAAGACGCTTCCTCATTATTGTGTTTACCGTGGCTTTAGTCTTTGTTAAAAACTATTTGCATTCTTGTGATTCCGCAGGGCTGTTCTTCATCTTGCCGTGCACTGACAGCTTCATTAATGTGGACATGCGCACCATCACCTTCGACATCCCACCACAAGAGGTACACTTCTTTCAATTACATTAAACAAATACTTTGTCACATTAACAGAAGTTCTAAAAACATCAAAAGGTTGTGCAGCTTCTTGATACAGCAATAAAAATCATTTTATGCTTCCATTGATGCTTTTTCCTCTAGGTTCTGACCAAAGACTCTGTGACAGTGAGTGTGGACGGTGTGGTGTACTACCGGGTGCAGAATGCTACCCTGGCGGTGGCTAACATCACTAATGCGGATGCTGCCACCCGGCTGTTGGCCCAGACCACCCTGAGGAACGTCCTGGGCACCAAGAGTCTGGCTCAGATCCTGTCAGACCGGGAAGAAATCGCTCACAGCATGCAGGTGGAGTGCAACAATATCTGTTATACACACTGTCTGAAAAGCAGAATTTGAGTGGCACATTACTTTTGAGACAGTTTTCCTGAACAAGCTGCAGTTAAGATGTGTATCCACTGTAGGCGAAGAAGCTAGCCCGTCTTCCATGTAGAGCCCAGCTGTCAGTCTGCTGTCACTTCAATTATTTATTTATTCATTAAACTTTCACTTTCAGTTCATGCTGAGCCTCTGTATATTATAAGATATGTTTCAGATGCACACACAGTCACATTCATTCATATCAGTTATACTTTATGTCTTCAGTATTACACAGGGTTTTTAGGGTCATTAAAAACCTGGAAAAGTCATGGAAATTCAAAATGCTAATTCCAGGCCCTGGAAAAGTTATGGAAAGCAATATTTTTCCCAAAGTTTTGGAAAAGTCATGGAAATGTAACTAAAGTTGCATCAAATATAATTTATATTTTATCTAATCGCCAAAATAGTAATACTATAATGATAATAAATACTGTATCGTATAGTAATGAAACGTAAAATGGCATTTAACTGACGAGGTATTTTGCTGGTGAGAGATTTTAGTTGCTTTAGCCTGTAGGAGCTAGTAAGCCTACTATTTTATTTGTTTTAGTTAGGCACAACATGTTTAATATTTTATTAAAATAAACCATTTTCAGTGGTACCGCTGAGAAAAAGTAATTTTTTGGTCATGGAAAATTAGGTAAAGGTCATGGAGAAGTCATGGAAAAGTCATTGAAAATCATTGGTGAAAAAGTGTATGAACCCTGATTATAAGATCTTTTTCAGATGCACACACAGTCACATTCATTCATATCAGTTATACTTTATGTCTTCAGTATTACAGTACACTAATTGTCTTAAAGTCAGAGACGCTGTTAATGTGTCAAACGAGGTTTTCTGCACACCAGCAGACAATCTCCTCTCCATCTCTTCTTTAATCAAACTGGGATTTGCTTGTGGCAAGTTGTGCATTACTGCCATCTTATGGCATTAATTGGGGTTGAATTGATTGGCCATTTGGGAACTCAACTCTGTTAAAATATACGTAATCACACAGCTAATATCTCTCTGATCCAGTTGTCAGACAACTTTAGAAGCATAAGGATTTTCTTAAATTGCAGAACCTGTGAAGCAAGAGTGATTCCTTTACTGCTGCATCAACAGCCTCAAACAAATAACTGTTATTAGTCGTACACACCATAAACAAAAACACACAAGCTTCTATACACAGATTATCAAGCATGCAGCACAGAGCGTAGCCTCAGCTGTTAAATGTTTGCTTTCAAAGTAAGTGGTCTGTCTGATTTGATTAAAAGCAACAACATCAAAGCTACTTTCTCCAATAACACCACTGTTTTAAAGAACAAGTCCTTATTTGTTTTAACCTAAACACCAACTGTGCCGTAAATGTATTTTCTTTCTGCAAGAGAAAAACACGTGCTTAGTTTGAGCTCCATCTGCTGGCCAAATTGAAAAAAGCAACACAGTTGAAGAGGGAGTGTTGGGCTGATTTTGTCACTGAGTTACTATTTTTAAGCTGTGGATAGATTATCAAGGTTTCCCATATCTTAATTCTGTCCTACAATTCAATTGTTATCTCTGTGTCTTCTCCAGTCCACTCTGGATGATGCTACAGACGACTGGGGGATCAAGGTGGAGCGGGTGGAGATCAAAGACGTTAAGCTGCCCGTCCAGCTGCAGAGAGCGATGGCTGCTGAAGCCGAGGCCACCCGGGAGGCCAGAGCCAAGGTGAGGGCGCTCTGTTCAGACCAGCAGATCCTCTCAAACATCTGTAGATATTAGTATTACAAGGTTTAGTTGACTCCTTTGGTCAATTTGGACATTCAGCAGGGCTCTCATTCTCGATATCAGACCGATGTTAAGGTTAAGTATCTACAGTCATATCAATCCGCAGAAAGAAGTTCACTTTTTCAATTCATTTGTTATAGTTGTTGCGAATATGATCATTTAGACCAGGGATGGGCAAATGGCGGCCCTCAGATTAATTTATAAACAACGTAATTAATACAAATAGATAAAAAAATATTTTATTTCTTTTACTTGTAGTACTGACACCGTCCACTAGACTCCTAGTTACTTCGTGAGCTGCGTACATGATTTCGTTCGGCAGCCAAATACCGTGAAATAATCTGTGACGCGTTTGTGTGTATTGTGTTTGTTTCCCGGGGAAACGCTCACAAGAAACACCGGCTGTTGTTATGCCTGCTGTGACGTTAATTTGCCGATTGTAATTATGCCTTTACAAGCTTCAAAGTTGTATTTATCATCTGAATTTGGCGAAACAAGTTTAATATTCTAAAAACCAAGACTTTGTTTATTTGAAATCAGATGAAAACAAACTGTCACGGACCCTGCCGTGTTATCTTTGATTACTATACGCTTTTCATTCATAATTTCAGAAGGAGGGAGGGGGGGGCGGCTCTGAGGAACAGCAGAGTGCGGGTTGACAGGTGTCTGTGTTGACATTCCCCTTATTGTGGAATAAGGGGAATGCAGAGCCAGGCTACAAGTGTCTTAGGTTCAAGTTAGACAAATAATGTCTGGGTTAGTGTTCATGACTTCATGTTTATGTCATCTTAATGGTTAATCTCAATGCACACACATTTTCCGTGCTTTCCAATAGTTTAAAATAGTTTTATTCCACTGTTAAATAACCTGTTCAATACAAACATGCCACTTTTAGATAACATTTCTGTGAACTGATATTTGTTTAGTGAGCTTATTAGAGGATGTTCCCTGAAAGATTGTAAAATGTCAATGAAGATGTCAGACTTCGTATATTTGTTAATAATTACATACAATACATGGAATGTGTGTGTGTTTGTGTGTGTGTGTGTGTGTGTTCCAAGTGAATCTGCGGCCCCTGGTGGCCAGTACATACATTATGTGGCCCCCACCACCATCCAAGTTGCCCATCCCTGATTTAGACTCATGATGGCTAAACTGTCCAGTAAAGAAAAGCAAAAAAGAACAAGAAAACAGCGCAGTGAAAGGAAGGAGGATAAAAGACACAGAGCTGGAGGACAGAGAAAGCAGCAGCAGCAGACAGACAGACAGACAGACAGACAGACAGACAGGAAGTAAACATTAAAGGGAACACAATATGGGCTTTGGCAGTGTTAAAGAGTGGTTCATGGAGAAGACAATGTGAACAGACTTGGCAGTTACAAGGCAAAAAACAACCTTTATCAGTGTTTTTGTTGTTACGTTCTAGCCGTTGGGACACAGTACAAAGGACTGTTTACCTTGGCGGAAGCAATATGATCATTTTGAAATCAAATAAACCAATTTTAAAGTTGTGTCAAAAATAATTAATTAATTTAGTAGGAAGCCAGATAAAAAGCAAACCCCGCTTATCGTAGCTTCGCGTCGGGATCGCTGGATAACATCCCTTGCGTATTGACTTGGTGCAGACACCCCTCAGCCTCTGTGTTGTCCCCTCACCTCTCTCCCCTCCTGTTTCTCCTGAAGGTGATCGCGGCGGAGGGAGAGATGAACGCGTCGCGGGCCCTGAAGGAGGCCTCCCTGGTGATCGCAGAGTCTCCGTCAGGCCTGCAGCTGCGCTACCTTCAGACCCTCAGCACCATCGCCGCCGAGAAGAACTCCACCATCATCTTCCCGCTGCCTATGGAGATGATGCAGGCCTTCATGAAACGTTGAGGCAGAGTCGTGAAACACACACACACACACACACACACACACACACACACACACACACACACACACACACACACACACACACTTACTTACAATAACACACCTTTAGGACCTGTGTCTATTAAGTGCTCTGATGACGCGTTTGCATTTTAACACCTCTAGAACAAAACTGACCACATGTATGATCTATGCCTGTGAGAGGCAAACTTTATTAAAAGAAAGATATGTGGCCTTACAAACACACACGATGGATCCATGGTGCAATGACGTCATCTAAATGGATTCAGAAAATAGAAATCGGCCAGAGTAGCATTCAAAAATTCACACAGAAATTCACATACTGTACCATTTCATCTCTGTGACAGCAGGCCAGCACCAATACCTTTTTTTAATTCCAACAGATATTAAAAACTCTCACAAATCGCACCCTGTAATAACATTTAACGGCTGTCCCCACCATGCAGCAGGGTGTCAGAGCGTAAACCCTGAAACAAGCTTTATTTATATTTAAGATTGGTGCGACCTCCTAGCAGATTGGGAGATGTAAAAAAACACTTTTACCCTCATTATAAGGGACATTATAATCCTTAAAAACCTTCTAAAAAAGCTCTTGCTGAAAATGTGCTTAATTCTTCTGTAGTGTGGACTGTGCGTTAAACATAAAAACACCTTTTCTCCATGAGCCAGTACTTAAGTATTGTATTGGTTGAGAGACTTACAGTCAGGCAGGATGTTACCAATGTTTACAGTATTTGTACTATTCATACCAAGTATATGTTATGTTTAGATGGGTGGGCAAAACATTTGAAACATCATACTTTAGCATACAACCTCATTAGCTACACCTAAGCGCTACCGTTCAATAACACTTTTTCTCTGCAAATTATTCAGCCAAAAGCCTTAAATCACTGCCATGGATCATTTTACAGCCCGATGACACATTTCTATGCACCTTCAAATGAAATCAGCTGAAGCATTTTAAACAATATTTTATCACATATGCTCTTTCTAAGTGTTAACAAGCCAAATAGTTCCATGTTATTTGTATTTTATCTTTCTTCAAACTAACATGTGGTTGTTATGTTTTCCTCCTTTTGACATAAAGGGCAGACGTGTTGGTAAATGTTCGTAGTGTATGTCTGTTAGTATACTATGTGTTTATATATATACACAATAAATATAATTGCGTTCCGACGCGGTTTCAGGTTTGTCACGGCCAAATCTCGGCTTGAATTTGACTTTTTTAATTTATGTTTATGTGTAATAAAAAGACTATAAGGGAGAATTTGTGCTACGGCTACATAGCAAATGATGTTTGATAACCTTTGTTTGTTCCAGGACAAAGAGAAATAGTCTCTTGTAGTTTTGCTTACACTTCAGGAAAACCCTTCTCATTGAAGTATTACTTACATTGCTGTCTTCTAAAACATGTTACACACATCAGTATTATTTTCTAACGTTTTATTCAGCATTTATGGTGTTCAGTTTTAGCAGCTAACCAGTTTTACTTTGTACAGTTTGCTCTAGTTTTATCCTGAAATAAAGCATTATCAAACAGCATTTCCGCCTACGGATTAAATTATTTTCAGCGTGGGTTAAATCAGAGACAGTAAACACTTCACGTTTAATCTGGTTTTATTGAAATGATGACAAGGCTTAGGGAAACCTTAGAAAGATTCACAAAAGACGTGACTGGTTTGAAAAGCAGCAAAGCGTTGGTTTCCCTTTTTAAAGTTGCAGCATCACACAAGCTTTCCTGGGACATTTAAAAACAATAAATACAAGCAGCATCTAAACTAAAGGTGCAATATCTATAAAGGCAACTTTCAACTAGAAAAGTACCTTTTATAAAACATCAGGTTGACTGTAAACTATAGGAAAAGAGTATTAAGGCATCGGCTGTATTGCTTTCTGCGGTGAGTTTCTGATTTGTTTGCATTACATTTCACTAGTGACCAGGTCTAAAAGTCCTCATAGAAGAAAAAAATTGGCTTCAATAAAACTCTTTTTAGTGCAAATCCTAAAGGAAGCCTGTGTGTCTGTTAAAGCTATTGCTATTTGTTGAGACAAAATGAAACAACCTGTGTCCCTCACAAACATGATAAAAGGTAAAGACATCTGGGCGTATTGGCGGCTAACAGTCTTCTGATTGCTTAGTGCTTGCGGGGGAGCAGCGGGGTCGAAGGTCAGGGCTGATTCGGGGGGCGGCTCACAGGGCGAGTTCAGCCATGGCGCGCTCCAGGGGGTCGCTGGCCCAGTACTCGTGGTCCCAGCCCAGGAACCAGCCGCTGAAGGTGGGCGGCTCGAAGCCCTGCTTGATCTTGACGATGGGCGTCCGGGGGTCTCTGTTGGCCGGATCTGTCTCAATATATTGAGCCGCTGAGGAGGAAGAGGAGAGTCTTTACTAAGCGTCATGGCATTTGAAATGCAGAGCAGAAAAATCAGATTTGACCAAAATACAAGACATGCAAACTGATCAGTGATGTTCAGTATCGGGTAAGTCACTTTGAATACCTTTTGATTATGTAATGCACATATGTTTGAAACTTTTATATTTAATAAGTCGAAATAAGATTAAATTACTTTTGTTTCTACGGAAGCCCTACAATGCAGTTCTCTTAATCCACATAAAACTAAATCTCAACTTCACCTAAAATCTCTTAACAAAACTTTTGTCAAGCCACACACAGGAGTGAAGATTATTCAGAATATTTTTTCCACTGCCCTTCAGGGCTTCTGTATGTTGTTTTTTTTGGGCTTGTAGTGCAATGTGAAATGTTCCTGATGTTCTCAATTGAAATGTTAAATGTGTTTTTGTGTTGGTATAACAAAATCTCAATACTCCTTAAAGGTCCCATGTCATGGCCATTTCTACTGATCATAATTCCATTGTTGAGGTCTACTAGAATAGATTTACATTGTTCCAAAATCACATTGGTTTCTCATACAGCATCTGTGTATTCACTCTGTCCTAAACGGCTTGTTGGAGCTCCTGCCCCCCCCCCTCCCTATGAGCCCACTGTGCTCTGATTGGTCAGCTCGCCCACTATGTTCTGATGAGTCCACCACCGTTACAGCGGAACATCAGTGATTATGTGTTACAATGGCGTTAGCAACCAGAAAATGACCCCAGTAATGACAAACATGAGAATGCTGCGTGGGGTCTGGGGGCCGTGTTGGCGGGACGTTGCGGTCTCGCTGCTGGAGCGGACAGTGTGAGCTGTATTACTGGGGTCGTTTCCTGGTTGCTGCGTGGGGTCAGCGAGACATCGCGGAACTCAACCTGAGCACACACACACACACACTCACAGCCAGGCTGTTCGCCACACAGTTTGCCACACACTCACAGCCTGAGAAAAGATAAGGCTGAGTGAGTGTGTGTGCCGGCGAAACTCCGCTGAGTGGCGCGGCTGAGAAAAGATAAGGCTGAGTGAGTGTGTGTGTGTGTGTGTGTGTGTGTGTGAGGAGCACCACGGATTGGTCCATTTGGTCGTCGTTAGGTCACTTTGACCAGGAAGAAAGAAATGGAAAAAGAAACATCTCCAACGAGGCGTTCTGGGGCAGCATAGACAGGTATTTTCTGTGTTAGAGTTTTTCTCGCTACAGGGTGTACTTTGAGGGTTTGTGACTCTGCAGACCGTTTACATGCATACAAAGCTACATAACACACAAGGGGACGGGTAATAACCGGAAAAGCATGACATGGGACCTTTAAACATTCTCAAAAAAGTCAGTTTAGGATGGCAAAGAATTATTTTGAAATGTGTGTACGAGGCAAGTTTTTGTGGCATTTACCTTTTTCTCTATTACTTTTTCACAAGTCTAAATGATTTAATCTCCACAGAAGTACATTTTTTAATCATATCTTAATAACATAATGTGGAGCTTTTTCCCAGATGTCCTTACCAGACTTCATGGCTTCAGTCTTCTCCTCCTCTTGGGCCTCATTTCCGATCCAGACAAACACCTACAAAAAGGAAGGTTTTAAACACATTGGTTACACATTACTTACATCGTGGTGACTGCTATTCATTTATGTCTTAGACTGTGAATGCTCTGGTTTCTTTACCTGGTCCCAGGAGTCCAGGATCATGACATCATCGGTGGCGAGGTCCTCTTGGGTCATCTCCCCGGGTACCTCCTCAATCTGAGACGAAGAGAAGGATTTGTACGATGTTCAATAATTTATTTTGTAAAAACTGTTAGACCCCCTTGTGTTCTGTGGATTTTCCAAAGTAACTGGGACATCTATTCTGGAAAGGCAAGTTGTTGTTGAATAAAGGAGTCTTTTAGTTGTTTAGCTTACGATGAAGTTTCCAGTCTTGTTGGAGCAGGCGAAGAGTCTGGGTGGGTGAGCGTCCATCTTGTCCTTGAGTCTGGTAGAAGTGCGATATTCTGCCTTTCCTCCCAGAGCCTCCCAGAACTCATCTGTAAAGAAGACGGACACACTTCAGGTTATTATAGTTTTTTATGCTGTCAAATAAACATTTGAGCAGTTAAAGGGCTTAAGTTATATATATATATATATATATATATACACATTTTTGGAACCATCCTTATTTACATTACACAGTTAAATATAAAGCTACAGCTTTGCATATGGATAGTAAACCAGGATGAAAAAGCAAGCCTTGCTAAGTCAAAGGGTTAGGAAAATGTTACCTCTAAACCTCGCACATAAACAAGTTGTATTTACTTAACATTGTAAAGGGTAAAAAGAACACATTGTATTTTTTGAGCATCTGCTTGACCATTTATAAGCTAACACGCTAATGATAACTTTTCATTTAGCAGGCTTTCATGACAGCATTATACATCTTCACATCCAACTCTTAGCAAGAAAGCAGATAAGCATATTTCCCAAAAATATCAAACTATGTCATTAAAGCTGCATTATTATATATTTTGTCCACATTAGGGGAGACTAACTTATTATTTGGTCCATTGTTGATTTGAAATTGCACGTAAAAAGTGTTGTTGAATCACACTCAAAAGTTACTAAAGTTAACATGTAGTTAGTTTGACAAACCAAACGTTTCTTCATACTGGGTGCAATTAGAATAATAACGGTTATAAACTAAAGCTTGAATAAATAAAATGTCGAAGGAATTTCTGGTTTGTTGTCTTCACAGCCATCGACTGAAGTCAGTCTTTAAAAGCAGGCTGTTTATAAAAAATGTACTCTGTTTTGTTTTAGCCTGAGGTTTTCTATTTGAAATCGTGAGCAGAGAATTCAGTTTCTTCTTGAGCTTTGAGAGCAAATCGCAAGATCACTGAAAACATCTGAAGGGCTGATGCAAGCAGGTCTGCTTTGTTTTAATATTGATGATCACAAGCTCCTTCTTTACCACAGATACGAAAAGAAAACTATTTAGCTTCACATTGAAGTGCTATTTTAACAGCTTGAGCACAGTTTGTAGCTAGTTAACTGCTGCTGGGCTACAGTTTGTAGCTAGTTAACTGCTGCTGGGTTACAGTTTGTAGCTAGTTAACTGCTGCTGGGCTACAGTTTGTAGCTAGTTAACTGCTGCTGGGCTACAGTTTGTAGCTAGTTAACTGCTGCTGGGTTACAGTTTGTAGCTAGTTAACTGCTGCTGGGCTACAGTTTGTAGCTAGTTAACTGCTGATGGGTTACAGTTTGACTTAACAGCATTTACTCTGTTCATCAGGTTTCCTCACCACTCTCTCCTCCCTCAGACAGCTCCGAGGCGGACACCCCCAGGATGTCACACAGCTGCTGGGCTCCCTGCTTCTCCGTGTCGCTGGCACCCACGCCCCCCCACATGAAGCAGCCTCCGGGGGTCACCAGGACAAAGACATCGTTGGAGTTCAGGTTGAATGACGCCACGTCAAGCTGCATGAAAACAGAGATTTTGTAAGTTAACATGTGCTACTTAAACTCTAATGATTATTACATTACATTACATGTCATCTGTTAGACGCTTTTATCCAAAGCGACTTACATACATTCAGTACTGTGGACAATCCCCACAGGAACAATTTGGGGTGAAGTGTCTTGCCCAGGGATACAACGACATGCTGACTGCAGTGGGACTCGAACTTGCTACCCCCTGATTCGAAGTCCAGCACACTATCCACTGAGCCACAGCCGCCCGATTATGTTTCAAACTGCCAGGGTTCACAGTGTGGTAAAGATATAGTAAAGAGCTGGTGTGAATTAGGCAGCAACCAGACCTTACTGTTTTGTACATTAAAGCTTCAAT